TAAATTCCTATTTAGGTTCAATTATTGTAGGTACATTTGCAAAGATTTTATTTTTCATAAAGATCCGCAGTCTAATGATTATAATTTAGTTAAATTAAGAACAAATTATAATACAAGTCAAAGGGAGGATGTTTGGTAAACAGAATTAATAAAGCAAGGAAGTAATATTATTAATAGCTGTTGCAGGGGAGACAAAAGGTAAACAGTGAAATTCGACTATTTCGACAATTTTGTCGGGTCGATGAGAGAAGTTGTAATCAGCGTGTCCTAATGACAAAAGGATGTTCACGCTTCCTTTGTTTTGTCGTCCCGCCGCAGGATACCACAGGTTTTAATGTTTCACAAAAACCACTCGAGGCGGAAGTAATGGCCGGTCGACGGACCGTCGTTTCCTAGCCACGGCTCGAGTAATTAATACGAGAAGGGATTAACGAAGGACACGCGATGTGGATAAAAATGGAGGACTTCTTCTTTTCTGGCTTCGTTCGTCGCCATTTGATGCACGGATGAAATTGCAGACGTATTTAAGTACCTGGGAGATCTTTAACTTTCTTGGGGTTCGCTTTACATCGTTCCAAATTAATTCCGAGATGGTATTTTATTCGTCGTGCCACTGTGTAAGGGATAATTAGTAAGATAAGCGTTTTTTTTTTCGATTCTTTGTTTTTAGAATTAATATATTAGATGATAAATGGTGTTTGGTTTTTTTGGTACTTTAGAGTCAAGCAGTTTAAAAATACATTTATTTTCAAAATATTTACCGACCTAAATAAACGTGCTATTGAAGAGGAAACATTAATTAACGTGACAATTGGTCTCCCTTTAAAGAGTTTATTTTAATATTATCTATCGATAATGAATTTCAATTAAATTAGGAGGTCCTAGATGGTTCCTAAATAGTAGTAAATGTGTGATAGAGTAAAATACAATTCTGACTATAATCTTTCTATGGGAAAATGTGGTATGAAAGTGTAAATAAAAATAATTAATTTATCGGTTGAAAAGTACTTATGTCATTAATACGAATTATTGTATTACTGAATTGTATTACTGAATAGTTCAAAGTGGTTTATTTTTTAATTAAGAATAGAATAATTTGTAATTATACTGCAAATACCTCTCAACTATTACTCTAATAAATTTACACAAACGACTATGGTTCAAACGAGGTATTGCATTGTATTACAGTATATTGAAGAAGACTGATTATCGTGTTTTGAAAAAGAAATAATAAAGAATAGTATACAGATAGACAAACTAGTGTCAAAGTACATCTTCAAAACCATTATTTTCAGAACTTTATAGTTCATCGTGACAGCTAATAGAAGTATCTTACTTACAATTCAAGCTCATACAGCTATTATTCCTGCTGAAGATGTCTGGAATAATATTCCTACGTTTGGTTTCATATTCGTATTTCCATTCTCATCTCCTCGATATTTATCACTTTCCAACAGTTTCTATTTACACTCCCCGTACTTCAAACATTTAATATACTCGATTCAAAGTTACGACATCCACCGTCGTTCCGAAACCCACCTTATAAATTTCAATGGTAACAACCAATCAGACTAATCTTTTCTGACATCGAGAGAGTCCTGACGCAAACCATTCATCCATCGAAGCGTCGTTGTTGATAGAATCCGACGGAACAACTAGCTCTTTACATCGCATCATCCATTTATCGTGGGATTTATTTACTCCCAACGGATACAAATGATCCGGTTTTTAGCGGATTGCCACGGACGGCATCCAATTTTCGCTATTCGCGGTGCAGCACGCTTCCACCGTTTCATCCGCAATGGATTGAATCGACGTTCCAATGGTGGATACGTCCCGAACGGAGAGCAACGTCCGTGGGCCGCTCGTGTAACCCTGATGCGCCCGGCAGACGTTCGCGGGGTCACTCATGTAACCCCCTGTTAATCCAGCGAGTAGGTTAAAGCCAACGATCGCGACAAAACGAAATCATACCGTGTTTCGAATCGAATCACTGCCAGGAATCGCGTGTCGGTTCTACGATCACAACTGGCTTGTTTCTCACGAGGAATAAGTGAGGCTACTCTAAATAGGTAACTTCAAAAAAGTAAAAACATTACGCCAAGTACATGAAAAAGTGGAGGACTCAAGGAGTTACCATAGAAAAGTAGAAGATCCCCATAAAAAACTACGAGAAAGTAGAAAAATATGTGAAATCGAAATGAGCTGTCAGTACATGAAAGTCCTTTCCAATAAAGTGCAAAGGCGGCACTATGTAATACAATGTACAATTTGGTGCTTTCCAACTATGCGCAGCTAAAATGCTGTGTTCAACAGTGCGGACGTTCAGATCCTAATGACAATTCATGTAAAGTGACTGCTCCGCATTTTGGCGGTGAAATGAAGAAGCTATATAGCGTATCAACCACAAACTGAGACTGTTTAGACATTTGCCTAGATGTCCGTGGCCTGGAAGTCAAATGCTTGACGTGGCCAAGCAAGGTCAAGGTGTCGATGAATAAGAATTATTTTAAAACGCAAAATAATGAAAGTGTACTTATATTGTCAGAGTTTTAAACTGACAAATTATCTGAAAACTTGTGACAGGAAAGGTATCGGTGTCGATGAATGACTTTAGAAATAATTTAAAACGGAATACAATGAAAATGTACTCATATCGTAAGAGTTTTAAATTGACAAATTATGTGAAACCCTGCGGGAGAGAAAGTATGGGTCTTGATGATCTGAGAATGCCTTGCCTGGCTACGCCAAGCATTTGACTTCCAGGCCGCGGACATCTAGGCAAATTTTAAACAGCCTCAATTTGTGGATATACGCTATTTAGCTTCTTCATGTCACCGCTAAAGTGTGGAGCAGACACTTTACATGAATTATCATTGGGACCTGAACGTCCGCACTGTTGAACACAACGTTTTAGCTACGCATAGCTGGAAACCACCGAATTTTACATTGTGTTATACAGTGTCGCCTTTCCACTCTGCTGGAAAACACGTTCATGTACTGGCAGCTCATTTCGATTTCACATCTTTTTCTACTTTTTTGTAGTTTTTAATTAATGGGGTTCTTTTATTTTTCTATGATAACTCCTTGAGTTCTCCACTTTTTCATGTACTTGGCGTAATTTTTTTACTTTCTTGAAGTTTTTTTATGGGGATATCACTTTTTTTTTTACAAAGATAATTTGCATAGTGAATGACTTTAAATCATTTTTATATTATATGTGTATAGTACTTTGTGTAGAGTTCATGGTGCTCGAAACCGCTTATGGTTGCAAGAACTTGAAATGTTAAAGATGAAGTGAGAAATAGGAAAAATATGTCTACTATTTGTAACTGACAATTTATGTATTATAATAAAGTTCAGAAGTATGCAGAACACGTGGCAGAAAGTCTTGTTGCAAGAAATTCGAATGTTAAAGATAAATCGAGAAATGAAAAAAGAAATCCACTATTTGTAACTCACAATTTATCGTATTGCAATATCGGTTTCAGTCCTTAGAGGTTTCAAAAGTACACACAATGCATGGCAGAAAGTTTTGTTGCAAGAAATTTAAACAATGAGAAAATGAGAAAATGAACGGAGATCCACTATTTGTAACACATAATTTATTGTATTACAATAATATAGAAAAAGAGAGGTCAGATTTAGTTCTTTAAATCCTCAAAAGTACCCACGACACATGACAGAAAGTCCTGTTCCAAGAAATTTTGATGTTACTGATAATATATCTATAATATTTTTAATATCTATAATATAAAATAATCCATATGAAATAATATGAAAAAATGAATTGTTTAGTTTTGTGATTTATATATGTCGCAGGGAAATGATAAAAATAGAGATTTGATCAAATCCCTAAGGTAAATGATCAATTCACGCGAGATATTAAAATAACAACTCTGTGAGGTCATTTCTCTAAAGAAAGTAAGTGATTTGATCAAATCCCTTGACTGTTTTAGTGAAAAGATGAAATAATATTGTTTAGATATTAAAAGTATAAATTTAGTAAATCATGGATTATTAAGTGTAGAGTAGGTAATACAACAATAGTCGTAGAAACATAAATTATTTATTAATTACATTCCCTAAAAGTATTCTTTTTATTTTTTTAAAATATCAGCTTAGGTACCTATTTCTTTTGCTAATTAGTCTCGCATAAATAATTTATGTTTCTATGAGTATTGTTGTATTATCTATTCTACTTTTAATAATGCATGATTTACTAAATAAGTACTTTCAATATCTAAACAATATTATTTTATTTTTACACTAAAACAGTTAAGGGATTTGGGGTAAACGGAATTGGTGAATAACGGGTAAAAAATGACAAATTACGAAATGTATCTTTTACGCGACCAACTGGAAGAAATATTCGACAGGATGCAAGAGGTTTCACTCCGATTCATCAAGCGACGTAATCGGCAAGCATACCAAAAAATCACGGCTTTTTGCCCCTGTTTTCGTGTTGCTAGGCGCCCTCCTCGATCGCGAGTCGGTTTGGAGTCGCCTGTGAATTAATCGCCCGCTCGATCCGCTCAGCTGTTTTGAGCTGTCGAGAATCCGTTGCCAGCAAACAGCGACGGATCAGCTGCTTCGAAAAATCGATATATTGATTGCACGCAGGTTTAAATGTATATGATACATATGTGAGCTCGGCCTTCCATGCATGAAGGAAGAAGTCCACTTTGTAGGAGTTCTGGACTCCTGATTCCGACCACCGAAGTGTGAATCTTTTGGCTGCATTAATGCAGCAACACCTTGGGCGACGAAACTGATCTCAGCTCGCCCAGGTTTATGATGTGCAGGCCGTGTATAATGTTTGATAGGCGTATTAGCTACAAGGAGTGTAATGACTCCTCGAAACATTGTGGAATGTTTGGGGATCGAGCGAACGATGATGAATTCGTATCTTACTCAGTCGCGACGAATAATGACGTTCGCGGCTGAACAGTTGTTATTTTAAGATCTCCCGTGAATTGATCACAGACTTCTTATTTTTTTAATTGAAGAGAGAAAAAGAAAAGGAGAGCGGGTAAAGAAAGTGAATATATATATTTCATATGATATTAATTTATTAATTACAAACATTTATTCATTCATTTCATGAATTAATACAAATACCAGCAAATTTGTTATCCACACCGCTCATCATCATCTTATGCTTCAATTATCTGTAACATATACAAACCATATTTTAGTTGCAAATTAACGCAGAACTTAAAATAAAAATAGAAATCATAATTTTCTTACAAACATTATGTACAGCTCACTTAATTCCTTCCATTGTACACTTTGTCAGATCGTAGTATATTTTAATTGGCCAATTTCAATATACCTGTCAAACTTTATCGTATTTCCTGTAATACTTGCACGATTCTTCTTGTGGTATTTTAATAATCACTACCAGATATCCTTCACTCAGATAAAATACTAGAATTTCACAGCGACAGCTCCTATTTTTGGAGAGCACCAAAATACTGTTGCTTCGTCATCAAATTATTTGCTTCATGAAACAAGCAATTCATCCCTTCGTTTCCTCTTATTGGAACGACTGTCGCTGCTTATATCAATCAAAGACTGTGGAAACAGAAAACACACAAGAATTTACAACGATAATACACATACTTTAAGTGCACACAATTACTTATCAAATAATGGTAAACACTATCTACTTTTAATTGTGGATTTTACTTACTCTTTTATTGATGATGTTATATGCTCCTCTTCTTGATGTGAAATATAATAAAATATGTCGCACTTCTAATACTACTATTATAGTTTTACTGCGTGCACACACGTATTACAAGGCAACATTACTGTCTCTTGTGCATTATTTCTTGCAGTATCTGGTGACATTTTTTTCTTCTGTCTTAATAACCTGCATCCAGCTATTCCTCACTGTAACCTATATCTGTCAAACGATATACACAAGTATTTCTTATGGTGGCCGACGTGCCTTGCCGACTGATTCCGAGAGTCGACGAATGGACGAACGGCCTTGTCTCCTATTGGCTAAGTGTTGACGAAAAATCGACTGGAAAAGTATAAGACGGTAATATTTTTGGATGTATCGTGACATGATATTACGATATCGCTGTTGTACGTGTACCGATTTGATTGATTTTGGTTTTATTCAAAAGCTTATATGCGATTTACATAAGAAAAATGCGTTTAAACTTAGAAAATATTCCAGGCGTGATGAGATATTAATGAAAGAAGTTTCAAGTTAGGTTAGAATGGACATCTCTCCTGTAAAAGATAGCGGTAGCGCCACGTTATACGGGGTGGCTATATCATTTTTCATGAACTTGGCGTCGAGACACTACCGCGTCTCTAGATTTACAATTAAAATTCCAATTTCGCCCATTAAATTGTTCAAATGGAAGAAAATTGGGAATATTGGTGTGGTCTGACTCTTCTAGTGTGTTATCATTCAGTTAAGAAGCCATTCACAAAAATAGCCATATCATACCCATTTACAAACATTTTCCAATAAACGAGCCACCAAATTACTCTTGAATCGTGTATTTATACACTATTAAAATTCCAATTCCGTACATTTAATTGTGCAATCGGAAAAAAATTCCAGGCATCGTCCCGTCTTTGATCCTCCTACGCATACACGTAACTTCCTCAAATGGAATAGACGCCATTCACGTTACCACGTCCTAAAGAGTCGAGCCTCCTTCTTCCGGCACACGCCGAAGTAAGCAACGCAGGGACGCTCGGAACAGGTATACGCAAAAATTTCCCTCGCTTTTCACGATTTCACGAGCCTGTCGCCGTCGAAGCGGGCCAGGAGTGAACGTTCTTTTCACGGACGGTTTGCCACGGACCAGTCACCCTTTTCCTCTCGTTTTCCTCCCTCTCTGTCAGCCGTGTCGTCAAACAGCCATGCAAACACGCGTGGATCGGTGAAAGCGCTGAACTGCCATTGTTTTCAGCGTTTCCCGCGCGCACCTGTTCGCAGCATTGTTTCGAAACACGTTCCGCGTGCGCCAACAATGTGTGCGAAAATGCAGATCGATGCACGCCAGAATCGATCCGCGCTGTTCCCACGCGAATACAGTAGGAGACGTTCCAAAATTCAAATAAACGATTTATTTTGTTTGGTTGTTCGTTGTGAGAAAAATGGTAAAGTTATTCTTCAAAATATACATAAGATATTAAATATTCGTATATAAAATATTTATATAGTGTAATAATAATGTATAATATTATGTAATATATAAAATATTTGTATAGTTAGTAAGTACTTTGGGGTGGATTTCTTTTTCTTTCATAATTATTTTTTTGAGAGAGGAATTACTTTATGATACTTTTTATAAAGACAGATTTGAGTTAGTATTTATCTATGACACTAAACTTACTAATCTTGTGTATCTTAATCAGTCGCGACGAACAATGACGTTCGCGGCTGAACATATGCCTTATTATCTAAACTAAAAACTGTGCATGAAAGGAGAATAATTCAAAACCTTATTATTTTCTCCAAACTTTTAAAGATAGGCAGATCTGTATTAACAAAATGTTCTGCTAATTTATTTCAAATTTCATATGTATATTCAAGTCTTGGAGCACTCCATACGTTGCTATTATTTCAAACTTATAATATTAGTACATATCATTAATAGATAGTATTACTATTAGTAAAGTTTATATTAAAAATGGCACAGTTATAAAATTGATCGTGTTCGAGGGATTTTGTCTACCTGTGCCGGCGCAATCGCGTCAGGAACGATTCCACAAACACCAGAGGTCGTTCGCCAGGTGGTCTTCCTCAATCGACTCTCTTCAGCGATTCCTCGTTCAAGGAAAATCTTCCGTCAGATGGGAACAGTCTCCCTCGGTTTGGCTGGCGGCCAAATCAGTATGTAATTTACCGTCTCCGTGTTGCTTACTTCCGTTGAACCCACAACGCGTTCGGTCTCTGTGCTCGGGAAACTGGGTCAAGAATAGACTGAAAGAAAAATATGACGATTCGAGGGTACCGTTTGGACGTTTGAGAGCGATTCCGATCGTTTGTCACGGGCCATTTAGCGAGTTTGGACGAAGTTTGTCCTCGGTTGAAGCACCTTGTGCAGCTTTGGCCTCTTTTCGGCGTGCCGCACCAGTTTCACGTGACTTTCCATTCGCACGGGTAGCGTGCCTCGTTAATTAGTACTTGCAGGACTGCAAATATCATTGTTGCAATAGCATGTTTTTACACTTGTGCGAAAAGTCTTCTGTTTTCTGTAAAGAATATTCTTGGATTATTTGATTTTAAATATTCGTGTTAAGGTATTTTCTCTATACAAAATTCATAGATTTTATTATAATTATTAAATTTACATATAAATTTACATATATTAGGTGTAAACATTAATTCAGCGCCTTTATATTCAATCGTTTATAAATGTTAGATTAAATTACCAACCTTTTAAAGTGTCAACATGATTTTAATTATAATCAATCTACACATACAATTTATGCAAGTCTGGTGGTCATTACAATTTATTTATATATACAAATTTCAAATATTTTTGTCCTTCTAACAGCGTACAAGTATACTTACCAATTATTAGAAGTTAAAATAAATACTCTGCTTTTGTATTTAATTATTCATAAATCTAATTGAATCAGAAATATTTACTAGCCATTCTCTTATGTTAAATAATAACGAAATACACAGATTGTTCCAACATTTAGTTTTGCAGTTAATACGTGGTCTCTTGAAATGTGTGACTAAGAAAAGATTAAAAGTTGTATGGCTTTCCTTTATAAATAAATATGTTCACCTTACAAAGATACAGAATTAATTTGCACACCTAATATTTATAAGTACAATTATTCTAACAAATTAATCCATATTTATTATAAGTGAAATTAATTCAGTAAGCACATAAGTATGCTTCACCAATAATTCATTTTGTCGATATAATTAATTAAAAATGTATCAAACAATTGATGAAAAGCACCACAAATTTACCTTATTAGGCGATCCCGACACGTTCCGTAAAGTAGATATAACAGAAATTTGAATAAAGAAATAATGAAAGCGACGTATGGGTTCGGAACAAATGTTCAGAAATGGGAATTAGGCGCAGCGCGGGATGGGGATAGGTGGAAATCGGTCGTTAAATTAGAAACGGGACAAAGGGAACAGGTTCCTCGTTGCATTACCGTCTCCTATTAATTCGACAATTAGCTGTCACCCCGTCTCCACGGGAACACCAGTCAAACAGAGCAGACTAATTCCCGGTTATCTCCATCCATCCTTCGACTCGAGTCCTTCCGGTTCGCGCACTCCCCTCCCTCGACTTCTGTTTCTTCCTTCTTCGAGCCCCGGCAATTAGCTTAATTAACTCAATTATCGCTTTCTTTCTTCATCTCTTTGCAGGTGCGCACCTTGTTCGTAAGCGGCTTACCGATGGATGCCAAGCCAAGGGAGCTGTATCTGCTGTTCAGAGCATACGAGGTAAATAGTCCTGATTTTTCTCTCCATTTTCGATTTCTTCGATCGTGCATGCCCTGGAGCATTTACTTAGTGAATTTGTTCCTCGATGTATGATAGAGAATACGGGCTGATGACTCGTGTTTTATGGCATGACATAGGACAAAGGACATCGAGTTCTCGGACACCCATTTATTTACTGTACGAATAAAGATCGTGCATGATACTTGTTCTCGGAACAACTCTAAACCGTTGTAGTGTGTTTATAGAAAAGTTAAACAAGAAACAGCGGCCTGTTACGCGAGCCTTGCGCAGCTAAGTATAGTCAAATATAACAAGATACTTTTGTAAATATCTCGGAAACTAAAACCAACCGCTAGATATATAGGGTGTTGAAAAAAAAGCATTCAGTATTTATATGGTGTATAGGACACACTGTACTGAGTAAAAAAGCTTTAGTAAAGATAGGTCCAAAGGTCAACCTTTTCTGAGATATAAACAATTGATGAAGTTGCTAGTATCATGATTGACTTACTACTGGGTTTTCGATATTTATAGAAGATTTTCCACGTGTCCACCGCTCATTTCTCTAGACGCTTGGGATCTTCTTCTTACAGAGTCGCGAACTCTCTCGAAAATCCTACATTTCTGTCGAATTATTTGACAAGCATGGTGGATTCGGTTACGTAGTTCTTCTAAGTTATTTATCGGCGTGGAATACACTTGGCTTTTTAAATATCCCAATAAAAAGAAGTTCAGGGGATTTAAATCGGGGGATCGAGGAGGCCTTGCAACTGGTCCACCACGTCCAATCCACTTTTGACCGAACACCGTGTTTCGCATGCGATGGAAGCAAGTAAGTCAATCATGATACTAGCAAACAAAAATGTTTATATCTCAGAAACGGTTGACCTTTGGACCTATGTTTACTAAAGCTTTTTTACTCAGCACAGTGTGCCCTAAACACCATATAAATATTGAATGCGTTTTTTTGAACACCCTGTATATATATAGGGAAAAGTTGGTCGACTACTTTGGGAATTAATTCCATGGAAATGAATGTGTGCCCAGATGTTTCCTTTCAGAGAGTGTTTGTACGTAACTTAAAGATTGAGCAAATTATTTTTCAATTCTGTATACGTGTGTGTTACAAATGGCCTACTATGTTGTTTATGTACATTTTTTGTGAGAAGCCCTATTCTATGTTCTAAAAATAAAAATATTAAAATTTCTTTGGAAATCATTATTCAAGAATTCTGTTATTTTGGATTGAATCAGTGAACAATTTTTTGGAATTTTTTCAGAGAAAAAAATAACATAGCTGTTTCAAGAAGGAATGAAATAGTCATTTTGTAATCGTTAATTTTGTTCCAATTTCTGTCTCTACTGGTGTAGACAAAAATTACTAGTTTTTAGAATAACTATTCTTAAGAAATATTTCGAGATATTTATATTTAAAATACAGACCACTGCAAAATTAATATGACTTCCAAAAAGTGATCCTTTAGAGAACTACGTGTTAAGATACACATAAATACTGTAAACAAGGGAAAGTATTGGAATATGGGTTTAATAAATGAGTCTTTTTAATAAGTTTGAATTCTACGTTTATTCAAACGGCTCGAAAGGACGCGTTTACTGTTCAAGGAAAGAACGAGAACTGAACAAAATCAGGCCTATGAGAAAGAGAAATCTAGCGTCCATTTAAAGAAAGAAAATTCTGCCTGCGCTCTGTTTATTACGCTGGCCTTCGACGACAAACAGTCAAGGGTTGTCAGACCTGATGGTGGCAGTCCGATACTCTAATTTACAGAGAAAAGGGCAGTGTCTCTCAATGCTATATTTATTTTTGTTGAAGTCAAATTATATGTTTATAATTCAACAGAAAGTCTTCACTTGCATCAATTTTTTCTGAATTAATTCTCAAAGAAGACTATTTTGAAAAAAATGATGATATTTACACATTTTGTCTGCAAGCTCCTAAAAACCTAATAGAAATATTTCATACATAATATATTAAAAGTACATACTCTGAATAATATTTCTGAAATTATTCAATTTTGTTATGAAGTTATAAAATGATGTTAATCTATATTTATTTATATAAAATAGATTTTATAAAAATATAGATTTATAAAAAAATTGTAGATGTTTAATCGACGTCAATTATATTATGAAATATTCCTTTGAATAAACATAGAAATCAGATCACAAAATATTATATTTAAATTGCAGTTGGCGTTAATTACGATTTAAGCAAAATTTATCTGACTTTTCCAATATAGTTTAAAATTTGCTTCGTATTGTATTACGCGCCTCGTTCGAGATGATCAACCTGTAGTACTCCCACTTCCCGCCGATATCGCCACAAACTTCAAAGCTAAAAATCAAAAAAGGGGCGGGAATCGCCTCCTCTGTCTGCACGCCCGTCATGCCTCATTCTTTCTCTTTGTGCCAATTAGTCACGTTGTTAATGAGAGAATTTCTTTTTTATATCTGTGTAAATGTTTCGCAAAAGGCATAAAGGAGATTTTTCCAATGTGGAAAACCAAAATAAGGATCTCGAGAGACGTCTTGAGAAGTTGGAAAAGGAAAATAGAAAGCTAAGGAGGAAAAAGAAGAGGAAGAGCCATCGTTGCAGGAATAGATCGAGTGATGCGGTTACTGACGAGTTGTCGTCGAGCGGGTGTAAGATTGTTAGATTGTTTGTCTGATACTTGTTCTAGTTTACTGTCCTTGCCGAAGATAGTTTTCAGGTCTCTCCGAGACTCAAAAGGTTTTAAACCGTTTTCTTTTTTCTCATTTATGGGTCTAACCTAACTGTAAAAAAAAAAGAAAAAAAAAGAGGGAGAAGAAAAAGAAGAATGTATCGATTGGATCGATATCTCGCAATTTGTTGACAACAGGCTCTAACCTGAAAAATGTCAAGTTTGTTCACTCGTAGACACTAACCTACGAGTGTCAAACCTTTTTTCCTCACTTTTATGGATTCTCGTGAGATGAATTTTTTTCTTCGATTCCGAAGAATTTTGCGAGCTTTTTCATCAGGCTCTAACCTGATATGAAAGTTACTCATATTTTGAATATGAGAAATATGAAACAATATTTAGGACTAACCTATAATTGTCGGTCTGGATTTCCAGATCGTGACCGTTCCAGATATCCCAGAGCGAGATCTTTTAGTTCGGATCGGTGTATTTCTTCAGTTTCTCCAGATAGGAGTGAACAAAAAAATAACCCGGCAGATGGCAGGCAGGCAAGTCAGATGCATCGGGTTTTGCTGGATTCCACGAATCAGTTAACAAATCTACGGAACATCCCTGTCAATGATGTACCACCGGTAGATTTTAGTGAGCTAGCGATATTGAACACAGAAGCTGCGTTAAGTTCTGATATTTTAGATATTTTTGATAAGCGTATCTGCGAAGAAAGAGTCTTCGCTCCTCCAGTTCATAGATCTGGTGGTACGCTGCGAAGAAGTTATTAAGGAGGGTCTGTTGGAGGAAATTAGAGTAGAGGTTCTGAAGAAATATCCACCTCCTAACAACTCTACGTCCATTGATCCTCCTAAACTAAATCCTGAGTTCAAATTTGTTGTCCAGGAGTTGGTTCCGAAGAGAGATGACCGTATTCGGAAGAAACAGGAAAAGATTATTGTTTCTTTGGCTCTCGCAATGCAAGCAATTGCTGTGAAGTGGAAAGACAACCCTGAAATGCTGTCTTTAGTTAAATATTTGTTCGATTTGATCCAGCTATTGACGGATCTGCAGCACGATGTGTCTTTTGTTCGTCGAAGCTTGATATTAGCCAATATCAACGCATCTCTTCGAGACGCTGTCAACGCGTCAGGCTGCGGAGATTTCTTGTTTCAGAACACTTTGGAAGAGGTGTTGAAAAATGCAAAAACGATGGAAATCTCTTGCAGAGATCTCAAAGTCGCTTATAGATTGCAATCTTCGAAACAAGCAAAAAACTCGAGGTTTCCGCCCTGTCAACCTCAAGCCAGGAATTATCCAGCGCCGTCGGACGGGCAGAAGCCGAGGTATCACTTGTTATAAAAGAAGCAGCCGCAATCTTTCCAGAAACCTCGCTACCAGAGACGCGATGGCGATCGGAATCGAGATCGGGAACACTTGAGGAGACCTTAGAGCTTGGTGTAAGCCTTATAGTCGATAGACTCGGTCTCTTTCAAGGTAAATGCCAAGATGACATGGCACTGACAAAAAAGTTTTGTCTTGGTTGAGGGGTTATAAGATCCTTTTTTGCTCGATAATTAAACAGATCGTGCCTCCGAGTTTTCGGAATTTCACAATTAACGAAAGATTTAAAATCAATCAATTAATTGACGAATTAATAGTTAAAGGTACATTTCAGACGTGTCAGTCGAGTGAGGGACAATTGTCTCAAGTTATTTTCTAGTTCCTAAACCGGATGGATCCAGTAGGTTTGTTCTAAACTTGAAGGCTCTGAATCAGTTTGTTGAAACCACTCATTTCAAACTCGAAGATGATCGAACGGCCTCAAAGTTATTAACTCCCGATTCTTTCTTGACAACGCTTGATCTTAAGGACGCCTATTATACAATTCCGATCCATGTATCTCATAGGAAGTATTTGAGATTTATTTTTGATAAGCAGTTTTATGAGTTCACGTGTTTGCCTTTTGGCTTCTCAACTGCGCCTTGCGTGTTTACTAAAATCTTAAAACTCGTAGTAGTTTACTTACGCCAGTCGGGTTTCATTTCGGTCATTTACATTGATGACATTCTTTTAATACGAGACTCATTTGAGCAATGCTCAATTAATGTAATGAAATCTAGTTTGTTTCTCGAATCTTTAGGTTTTGTCATTAATAAAAAGAAAAGTCAGATGAAAAGTCGAAGAAAACTTGTCAATTTCTCGGTTTTGTCTATAATTCCGTTAAGATGACAGTTGAAGTACCGATGGAAAAGAAACTTCGGCCCAGAAGCGAAATCAGAAAGATCAGAGTAAACCAAGAATATAAGATTAGAGATTTCGCTAAAC